GGGGTGGGAACGGTGTGGAGTCGGGATGGGGTTGGGTTGGTATCGGAGTGGGATCGGGTTGAAGTCGGGTAGAGATTGGGATGGGCTCGGGGTGGGTTCGGATTGGGATCGGGATGGGGTCGGGGTGGGTTCGGATTGGGATCGGGATGGGGTCGGGAATGGGATGGGGTCGGGATGGGATGCGCAGGGATCGCGAAGTGGTTGCGCAGGGATCGGGATAGGACTGGGATATGGTCGGGTTTCATTTAGGGAGGGGTTTGGGGAAGAACGAGGTGGGGACGAGGTAGATGCACTTCAGAGGTGGAATGGGATAGGGATCGAAGACGGTTAGGAGAGATGAAAGAACCGAACTGTGTTATCTACGGAGCCGATTGGTGGGGTCGGGTTGAGACTAGGCAGGTGTTGGAATGAGATCGGGTTGGGATCGGGGTGGGGTCGGGGTTGAATCAGGTTGAGGTCGGGAGGGAAATGGGAATGAGATGGTGGCGAAATGGGGTCGGGATGGGGTAGAGCTAAGGTCGGATTGCGGTCGGGGTGGGATCGCGGCGAGTGCGAGGGGGGGCTGAGGAGGGTGCGTTTCGGAAGTAAGATGGAGTGAGGTTGATAAAGGATTGGGGGGGAAGTGGAGTAGAGCCGCGATTGTAATTGAAAAGGGAAATGCTGGAGTCAATATCGAAAAGGAGAACACAAAAGGATTGAAATTGAGATTGACGTCGAGGTTGGGATCGGGGTTGGAGACGGGAGAAAAGAAGATTGAAAAGGGCGGTTGGGATTAAGATTGAGAGTGAAATTGAAGAAGAGGTTGAGATCGAAGTTGAAAAAGAAGAAGAGAATGACTCAGAGACGGGGGTAATCGGGATCAATCCAGGGAGCGGATTGAGTTGAGGTGGACTTGAGCCGGAACGAGATTGAAAGGCAGTCGAAGCCGGCGGTAAGCGGGGACGAAGTTGGGAACAATGTTGGGATCAGGAGTGAAATCGAAACAGATCGGATTTGGGGGGCGCCACGTTTTGGGGTTGAGGGAGAGAAAACAAACTACGAGAAGCAAGCGAAAGTTATTGGGGGAGTGGGTAGACGACAGTGGCGAAAGGGATGATCTCAGGGTTGGGTCAGACTGACAGTCGGAAGAGAGTTGAGCGCGAGTCACGCTGAGTCGAGGAGGATTACAAAGTGAGAGAGGTTGAGGTGAGGTTGGGATCGGGTGAAGAATTGAGTGGGATGAAGTTGGGGGGGAGAATTGATACGAATAATAGGGATCAAAGTGACAACGGAAGGAGGCTGGAAAAGGATAGAGAGGAAAAGTGATCGGAGAGTGAGTGGACAGGAGTCAGTCAGAGGGGGGTGAAGAGTTGAAAGAAGGGATGGATAAGGACTGGACAAGGACAGGGGTCGGATGTGGGAATTAGCAAGTTGCTCTCACTGCTGATGTTGGTCCTCTTGGAGCTCTGGAATTTGGTGATGGCTGTACTTGATTACTTCAGGATGTTCGGCATTGTCAAACTTTTGCGATGGCAAGGGCGCGTGCGCGCCTCTTAAAGTCCGGGCGATGCCCTCCTAGCGGCTTCCCTCCTGCATTCATTCTACTTGGTGGCCATGGAGGAGCGTGCGCGCGCGGGGTGCGCGCTTGTGGTGTCCAACGTGGGTCGAGCTATGGCGAGAGCGCGGCCTTCAGTGCAGTTCAAGTTGATGCCCGTGCGGGGCCGGGGGACGGCGCGGCGCGAGCGCAGCGATGCGCTAACGGGGCGGCGCTAGCGCGAAAAAAACTCTCAGTGGCGTCTATTTTTCGGATTTTCCTTGTTTCTTTTTTTTTTTAATTTTTGTGGAGGGAAGGTTGCTGCACTCCATTCATGAGTACGGCATGCTTGGTCCCATGAGTATCCCATGCTTGGTCCCATGAGTATCCCATGCTTGGTTCCATGAGTATTCCATGCTTGCTCCCATGTTCAAGATCACTCTTTCGTTGTAAGCATTGTGCTGGTGTGGCGTTTGGCACTCACTGTGTTGGACTATGGGCATCACTCCACTACACAACGCTTGAATGTACAGTCCAGAAAGCGCCCAAATGCATGTAAATTTTTGTGTAGTGGAGCCCTCACCCTATGTTTGGTGCAGTGCATTATTGTTAAGGCGACTTGCACACACACACATGATAACAAGCACTTGCTTTGCATACGGCTTTGTCTAACCAATACACCAAAGTTCCTCGACTGCAGGCTTTTGTCTAGCCAATACACCGAAGTTCCTTGACAGCAGGCTGCTCGTTATTCCGCAAGTGTCCGTACTCGCTTCTTTCTGGCCGTGCGATGTTTGATCTTTGCGATGGTGGTTGCTTCTTTGTGCAATTTGGTTGCTGCGCTCCCTTGGAGCGTGGCTAATCAGTTGCTGGATCCATTTGCATCATCTGGCTATTTTTGCATTGCGCTGCGATGTCTTTGCTTTTGCCTTTCCTTGGATTGTGGCTCACCCACAGAACTCAAACACGGCACGTTCTAATGACATTTGTCGATATGCTACTGATGAATTACTTGGATTTTTTGCATCACTGCACTGTGTTTGTGTGAATGGCCGTTCTGCTTCTGCTGGCCGGCGAAACTGGTGGATGCCACTGGCTGGACCATTGTGGGCGGAAAAAAATATTGCACGACAGAGCAGATGACAAAACGAACGAGCCCTCTTAATACAGAGACCTGAGCTGGAATCTGCACGCAAATCAAAGATGAATCCAATAATATGGCAACAATTCAAATTTGGGCCATGCCATGGCAACAATTCAAATTTGGGCCGTGCCAGCTCCATGAAAATATGCACTTTCCCTTTTCTTCTTTTTTTTTGGGGGGGGGGTGGAGAATGGAACAGTGGAAAAGAATCTGCTCTGTGGCAGAAAACTTGTGATGAGGGAAGAACCTAAATTTGACGTTGGGCGAATTTCATTATTTTTTTTTTCTCCCATTGATGGGTCTACCGTCGTCGCCTGAATGGACTGCAAGCTGGGCAGCCCCCCCCCCCACTCCCCAGGGTGTAGTCATGCCGGGACCTTTTGAACTCAGCTTTGGATGTGGTTGCGGTCGTATACATCCAGGTCTTGTGGTATTTGCTGTCACATACATTCAGGAAACTCCTGGTGTCATCCTTGAATCGACATCCGTAATCGTCAGTTAGAAGCGGGGTACAGGACCCATTCCGAATTCTCAATTGGAACTACCAACTTGCCCCGAATAGAACGTACCGTCGGTCATTATGCCTGTGTTGGGTGACAACTTCTGTCTATGCACTGCGGTAATGGCTGTATTCTCTATTAGGGGGAAGACGGTAGATCTTTCATGAAAGGGCGTTGGCTTTGAGATATCGTCCTCAAACTGACTGCCCCCAAGTGATTCAGAATATTTTTTTGCCATAAAGTTCAGATTGGGGTTCGAACTCAGGTCTGTATTGCAGCAGTCCATGGGTGTACGAACTGAGCTACCCCTGTTGCCGCTGTCAGTGTCGCAACACTTTTCGTTTCTGGTGAGCCCGAGCTGACCCTCCTTGCTCCTCCCCGGGCAGGCGCATTCTGCTCTATCACTAAACCTACAGCCAGCACACGTAATCCAGCGGCATACACACAGGCACGAAAAAAACCTGCAAAGACGACAAGATTATCACAGATGAACTCTCGTGTACGAAAACATTCACACACATGCACTTGTGTATGAAAACATTCACACGCAGACACTTGTGCGCACGAGTCATGAGGTCTGTTAAGAGGCTTTGGGGAGGGAGAGAGAGAGAGAGAGAGAGAGAGAGAGAGAGAGAGAGAGAGAGAGGGCGGGATTCAGGGATGGGGGAATGTCTTCCTCGTCCCCCATAGTACATGCACACATTGCACAGCTTTTTGCCTAATCCTTTCTAACAGGGCCGGCAGGAAAAGAACTGTTAAAATTGTGGAGTGCGTGAGGGAAAAGCACAAAACGCAGCAAGAGGCGGAAGTGGAAACGGTCTGGGTGAAAAGCATTGAATTCAGTGGGGGGGGGAAGGGGAATCAAGAGAGAGAGAGAGAGAGAGAGAGAGAGAGAGAGGGAGGAAGGGAGGGAGCTCTGTTCCCTCCCCACCATAATTTATGCATAGCTTTTTTTCTTGTCCCTTGGTACATCCATCATAATTCAAATTACGCATTAGCATCATGCAAGAGGTATGCTTCTTGTTCTCTTGTGTTTTAATTTTTTTGCGGGTGATGCTGCAAACAGGTCATCTAGTTCGGTGGCAAGACTCCTGGTGTCACATGTTGGTCAGAGTTTGGTACAAATGGAATGCATGGGTTGATCAGAGTCGCTGTGACCCAGTCGCCCAGGTCCGGTGAAAATTTGTCGGTTTGCTAAAGGTCAAGCATTTCGAATTTTGTGACATCCAGCGTCATCAAAGTGACCTCACATTATTCATGCAGTGCTTACCTCTTATCTTATCTTTCATTCTTATCTTATCCCACTCTTTATGGTAATGCCTGCTCTTATAGGTGGATTTGGAAACTGGTTTGTTGAACTTTGTTCCTATTTTAATTGGAGCGCCTGATATGGCCTTTCCAAGATTAAACAATATCAGTTTTTTAGTTTTGCTTCTATTTCATTTTGTCACCATGAATGGAGGTCATTTAGTACTCGATGCTTGGCAATCTTTTGTTGAAATGATTTATGAATTCGTTCTAAACTTGGTCAATGAACAAATAAGTGGTGTACAGCAGTGGCGGTTTAAAGCAGGGTGTGTTCAACAGATTGATTGTGGGTAGGCAGTGGGCACCTGTCTGTGCCTGTTTTCTTTAGACCACCACTACTGGGATGCCTCCTGTGGAACCAGTTGCATAGGTGCGCGCATGTTTATTATCCATGGTCGTTGGAATGGTGTGTTGTTTTGGCGAATGTTTGATGACACACAGCTGTCCTCCGCAAATTCTAGCATGTTTGTGGCGAGTGTCCCATCTCATGTTTGTTTTTTTATTTTTCCTGTCATGTTTTTTTTTTTTTTGGTAGACTATCCCCAAGTGGCTCCTCAGGTTCAGTTCCTGACAACTGGTGGCGGAAAAGTTCGGTTCAATCCGAATTTGTACGAGAGTGGCAAAGTGTGCCTGAGCTTGCTTGGAACATGGTGCGGACCTGGTTGGATTCCAGGCAAGTCCACAGTGCTTCAAGTGCTGGTAAGTATTCAGAGTTTGATCCTGGTTCAGGATCCGTACTACAATGAACCAGGCTATGAGCTCCGGGCACAGTCGTGGAGCTTGGCCGTTCAATATGCGAACTCTCAAAGGATTAACACGATGCGTCATGCAATCTTGGCAGCACTTGTGAAACCCCCCGCAATGTTTGAGGATGTTGTGAGGACGCATTACTCGCTGAAGCGTGAAGAAATTATCGAAGAGACTCGGGCATGGGTCCGAGAAATCTCCGGTTCCGGTCACAATCGTGCGCTAACAGGTGGTGACATGCGAGACCTCTTTGGGTTCGGTAATCCTAATCCTCAGCACACCAACAGCAACGAGATAGAGAAGCTTGCTCATGCCATCGAACTCGAGCTGAATAAACTTCCCTGCACGGTATAGAGTTACATTGTTTGTTGGCGATGGTGAGTTGATGTCTTTTGGGCTACGTAAAGACGTGGAATCAAGTGCTAGCTTCCTGGAAGTAAAGTCAGACACTTTGAAGCAGTGGAATAATCGAGGTGGCGAAAGTGTTGCCGTCTGTTCTCTGTGCAGGGGTATGTTGGGTTGGTGGTGATGAGATGATCTCTGTTGGGGATGTGTGAAGAACTGGACTCACCTCTAAGCAAAGGATCACAGCCCAGAGATTTTGAAGAGGTGTAATGATCTTTTGTCTGCCTATCCGAATGATGCTGTGAGCACCAGCAGATGCTTGGTTCAGATTGATGAAGCAAATAAATCAGTGCGGATTTAGTCCATGTGGATGCAAAAATTGCATCCAATGAGGAGGAATGCTAGGAGAGATGCTGCCGAGCTCTGCGGTTCGAAGGTGATCGATATGTGGGTTGTGGACGTGTTCAATCAATTAATTGCCTGATATGGGTCAATCAGGCTGTGTGGCGAGCAACAGTGTTGCTGCGGTTGGAATTGAATCACAAAACTGTATTTTAGAGGTTTGTTGACGACAATAGTTGTTGCCAGGTTCACTAGAGAGTATTTCAATCTGGAGTCTGTACCATGTTTCTTGGCAGTTGCTGCGGGTCTGATGGCTTGGATCTTGGGAGCATGAGCATTTTCGGTGACGAAACATCCAGTTTGCTGAATGCAAGTGATCTCTTGCTGCTGCAAACGTTTCTGCTAAAGGGTCAGCTTTTGCTGCTGTAGCTGTAGATTTTGCTGCTGCAGAGGACTGGTTGGTGTGTCCTGCTTTTGAGGCGTTGCTGTGTGCCATAATTGTGGACGAGGGATGACAGCAGCTACAGCTTTTGCTGCTGCGGATGTGTAGGAGTATTGGTGACAGTCTTAACTTCTGCAGAAGGCGGAGTCATGCAGATAGAGACAGGGTATGGCTGATTGTCTGCAGGGAAGCAAAGTCTTTTTTTTGTCGCTTGTTTCTTTTAAGGTTTTCCACTGAGGAGTACGCTAGGCTGGTTTGGAGAAAGCTAGGCTCTGCCCAGCCCAGAAGTAAGCTAGTCTCATTCAGGAGCTTGCTTGTTAACCCATATTGCGCAGTCGAACAGAGATCGCTTCTGTGTTGGGAAGGAGATCGTTTCGGTGTTGGGAAGGAGGCGGCATAAGATATCCCTGTTTTGGGGGGGTATATGAGATGAAAAGAGAAGGAAGAGGGAGAGACAAGCAAGGGTAGGAAACGTCTCAAAATCGCTGTGTTCGAGTCCGCAGAAGAAACCAGCTGGCAATGGGTCCTTATTGCTAAACTGCATCGTTGATAGAGACAAAAGGGTGCACACATCTCCTGACGGGAGTGAACACTCGACGCTGTTTTTGCCCTTCGCGTGCATAGCAATGCTGCAGGTTCTGCTGCCAAGCAATCAGTTAGCTACATGCAGTCATAATGAGCTCTGCTGGCAAGGTGGTTTTTGGTTTATGGAATTCTGTCTGGTATGCTCTGTCTCCGTCGTAGATTTTCCTTTGTTGCATAAGGGAGGTCTGCCATTTATGGCACTATGTCTGGAGATGGTCTGTAAATAATAAGTCGATAGGTGTCGTATGAAACAACTTTTTGCCGACGACATGGTCCTCGGCGAGCTGACCTTCGGAGTTGGTAGAAGTGTTCTTTGGAGCTAGTGCTAAGTGGCTGCAACTCGCAATGTGCCGAGGTCCCTCTGGGAGTAATGCAGTTGTCTGTACAGGTCAAATGCGACAAAATGACTAGTGCGTCAGATGTGATAATGGTAGAATGGCTAGTGCAGAGGGTGTTTATTATTTTGTTGCTCCCCTTGTTAGTGAGCTGCAGGGAGGTAGGTCCACAAAGCAATGATTTTCTGCCGATTTTCTGTCATTTACAGGCAGGCGATGTCTCATGTCCTGCTTTGACACAAAACCTTATGTTGAGCCGTCGGGGTTTCTTTGCCTGCAATTGGGGAAAGAGGGGCAGGAGCGGGGGGTTATTCTCCTGAAAAGGGGCTCGTTGTTGATGCTGATGCCTGGTGGCTGGAGATGAAACCTGTCTTTCTTCTCACCTTCTTTTAGTGACCGTTTTCTTTGCGCTTCATTAGAGAGTTAGAACGAACAAAATAAATAGGAGTATCATCTGTCTTTCTTCTCCACAATATGAGTATCATCGTCTTTCTTCTCCACAATAAATAGGAGTATCATCTGTCTTTCTTCTCCACACTGAGTATCATTTGACTTTCTTCTCCACTTCTTTCAGTGCGAGTTAGGTGTGTGCTTTATTAGAACAAGTAAAATAAATAGGATATCGAAAAGAGTTGCTTCATTGAAGTTCATACTGCTGGCCAGCATGAGTAGCCGGAGTCCTCTGTACGTATGCAAGACCGATGGCGTCACCCATCATAGAATTGATGGCAGGGGCGTGTGTTTGTTCAAGTTGGCTGCCGCTATTGTCCTGTGGCGGTCCTCTACTTTTGCTTTGAAATAAGGGCACAATGGGGAGCACACACAGCCGAGGCCTGGACAGAAAGGAGTCCTTCGAAAGCCGGAAATGGAATGCAGCACCTGCATTTGTTTTGTACTCGAGCGGACGCTTCATCAAAAGGTGGAACAGGGAAAAGAGCAGAGTCTGATCTATTGTGAAAGCGGATCTCAGAGGTGGAACGGGGAAAAGAGTGGAGGCCTCGTTCTCTATTTGACATTCAAGGCCTGCAGTTTCGAAGATTTTGTTATTCAAGTTTGATCATGCATTGCCTTGCCTGTTGTCCGTGGCTCTGGCTGTTTGGTATTTTGTCTATTGGCAGTCATGTACTTGAATTAAACACTCGAAAGATAGGAGCGAAGCTCAGCAAACAAGTCTGGAGATAAAATGAACCCATTTCTGGTGAGTGGCGGCGATCGCCTGACAATTTGCCATGTTGTGAAGTACCTTTGCCTCTCAATGCAGAATGAGGAAGAAAGAACGATGTGGCATGTTCACGGCAAATGTTTGCCAGTTTGCGGTAGATGTCCTCTATTGTCTGGTGGTGGGTTTTCAGTGGCTGTTTGGTATTTTGTCTGTTGGCAGTCATGTACTTGAGTTAAAAGTTAGGGCTCATAGGAGCAAACAACGATGGAGACAACGCAAACACATCTCCAGCATGTGGTGGCAATCATGTGTTTGAGATGTCGTGAAGCACAGGTGTATCAAAGCGTAATGAGGAAGAACCACTTCGCGTGTTCACGGCAAATGCTTGCCGGCTTGCAGTAAGTGTTCTCTATCGTCTGTCGGGCGGGATTTCGAGGCGGATGTTCTGAAGCTGTGAAATGAGGGGAGAGAGGAAGGATGGGCGATATGCTCTTGCATTTGCGGCAAGCCTCTGCTGGCATGAGGGCCCAGCAGTGAACTTAAAACTGTGAAAATGTGGGTCTAATCGTAAGGCAGGAAAGAGGGAGGAGTACTTGGCGTCTGTGTGTCTGAGGTGATAATAGGACAGCATTCGAGATCACCTGCCTGTTTTCGAGTGAGCGTTTGCTGCTGTCTTGTTGGCAATCATGCACTTGGACTGTAGCATAGCTTACCTTGAGGAAGGGACGACGATTCAGCGCCATGTACTGTCAAGGACACAGTCAATAGTAACCGAGTGAAATGGGTGTGGTGTGATGTAGGAGTGCAAGGCAGGGGACGAGAGAGGAGGTTACTGTATCCGATGAAGCTTTGAGTCGGTCGTTAGTATTGAAATCTGCTTGTACATGGAAAGATTCCTCCTTGTGGTATCTTCCCTTTGAGTGGTAAGTTAGTATCGAAATGTGCTTGTACATGGAAAGGTTCCTTCCTGTGGTATCTTCTCCCTCCCCCCCCCCCCCCCCCCCACCCCCCCTGTTTCAGGTTCTGTGCCCTTAACTTCCCGCTGGTATGTGAGTGCAGCACCATGATATACAGAAGGGAAGGGAGGGAGCCTAGTGCTTGCTACGCTTTTGCCAAGCTGCTTCTTTCAGTATATGCCTCCTTTGTCAACTGTTGTTGATCAGTTGCTTCAATTCATCACACGCATGATGCGGCTTGCAGGTGCAGAGCTAGAGGGTCCAGACAGATTCATCGATCACTTTATTGGGCTGATCGATCACTTCTGGTTTGCAGTTGCAATGCTAGAGGGGATAGACAGATGTGGTTATTGCTTGTATGTTGCTCGATTCTGCGTGCCAAATGTGGATAGAGTTTTGTGTGCGCAAACAAAGAAACTTTAACGAAGACGGTTTGGAATCGGGTGCGTTTTTGTACTATCCCTGGAGGACTATGTGTGCCTTATAGTACTTTAGTCTGATTAGTGTTTCTTTGTCAACGATTGCCACGACAGTGCAAGTGCAGAGGTTGCAAGGGGGAATCCGCTCTCCTGTGTCATCTCCTGTGCGGTCGAAGGCTTGTACTTATCTTGGGGTGAAAGAGTTGTAGGGAGGAATACCTGCTGGTTCGGTGTACTGCCCAAGCGGGGATACCTGGCAGTGTGTTAAAAGCTTTCCAGCCAGGTTCGGACTATGGACTACTTCTTCAGCCAGGTTCGGACTATGGACTACTTCACTGGGGGTTCAATTTGCTGCTCAAGTGGGTATATTTCCAGCCAGGTTCGAACGAGGGAGTATGTCTTTGACTGGTGGTTCCATGCGGCTCCAACTAAGGGAGTATGCCTCGCATTGGTGGTTCCATGTACTGCCCAAGCGGGGATACCTGGCAGTGTGTCAAAAGCTTTCCAGCCAGGTTTGTTATGTGCACCTGGATCTGATCTTCAATGGATGTTCATGTGTATGGCTCCGCATCAAGAATATCTGGATTCCATCTTTGATAAGTATCTCATGCGGCCATGCATACGGCTGCACACTCACCCTGATGCCTCTTATCTGTTTAAAAAAAAAAAAAAAAAAAAAACGCCAAATACTCTTGTAGCTGGCTTCTTGAGGGGCACTCAGAAAAAAACATGCCACCAATGAGAACGACAACAGCAACAGCAAACAAAGTTTAACAAACAGAGGCTTAAACCACTAGCACATTTCTTAACCGGCATGGATATCAAAGGGCCTCCTCCTTGTCAGATGATTATGGTTCATTGATGATCAATCTGGTGGCAACGGTGTGTTCTTCCATTTGCACAAGCCGCAGACCGTGTTTGTCGTCTGTCACGGAAAGAATGCCATCAGGGTTCAGATTCTTCAGAACCATATGCATGTGATGGAGACCTGATATGGCGTCGAGCGTTGCCATGCCGCGAGTCGTCAGTTGGGTCCCTTTGAAGGTAGTAGAACGCTGGTTTAAGGTTCCTGTTTGAGTTAGAAAGACAGATTCTAACTCGTAGAGAATCGGACCTCAGTGTAGCTTGGTGTTAACAGTACCATGATAAGAGTGCTTAAGAGGGGCCTCTGACTGCTGTCAGACCTGGCTGATAAATGCAGTGAGGCCCTGTGAGAGTGATTTTTTTCCCCCCAAGCAGCTTGCTATCTGAGGAAATGGTCAGCTTGCAACCATCATTGGAAATTTAACATCCAACGGCTCCTTCTGTTTGCTTCCCTCTGCTCCAGTGAGGGAAGCAAATACAAGAAGGGGGGGGGGGGGGTTGAAGGTGTCAGCAGCTTGTAGCAATCTACCGTGGTGTGAAAAAATCCCGTGTGCTCGATTTTTGTCGCAGAAGAAAACAGCTGGAATATTGAGGAATACTGACAGTTGCAATCAGTCGCGGGGTGAAAAAAAAAAGAAAAAAGAATCTACTGTGCGGTGAAGGCATCAGGAGCTTGTAGGATGTCTTAGAACCTCAAGCGGTCCGAGCTTGTGGGACCAGTGAGAGTTGGGAGTCTACTGTTCTTGTAAGGCGAAAAAGCTTGTAAGGACTGATGGCAGCCGGCGAGGTGGAATGGCAAAAGGGGGTATTGGAAACTGATGGTCCGGTGTTGAGAACTAGGGAGTGTGTACTATGTATGTCTTTAACTGGTGGTTCCATGTACTGCTCAAGCAGTATGAATGCAGGTGCACAGCTTTCCGATCAGGTCCGAACCAGGGAGTACATCATGACCTGGTGGTTTCACGTGCTGCCCAGGCGGGGGTGCCTGCCAGGATGTTGAAGCTTTCCAGCCCAGGTTCAAACTACGGAGTTTGTCTTTAACTAGGGGTTCCATGTACTGCTCAGGATGTTAAGCTTTCTGGCCAGGTTCGAGCTAGGGAGTTTGTCTTTGACTTTTGGTAGTGTTCGATGTTCTGCTCAGGCTCGAGCTTGTGGCACCAGTGAGAGTTGAGAGTCTATTGTTAGTGTGAAACTAAAAGCTTATGGGACTGATGGCAACTGGAGTGCTGGAATGGTGAAAGGGGGTGTTAAAGGGGGGGTATTAAGAGATTTTCTGGTGGGTGGGGTATACTTTATGGCCCCTGGTCCTTTCAGGCTTAATGGACCTCGTTGCCTTTTCGGCCTAGCAGAGGACCTTGCCCTTTTCGGGCTAATGGTATCTTGTACTCCAGCGAGTAGTGAGGCTAATGACTGCTGCTCATTGTACCTCGAGGCATTCACAGTCGTTAACCTTGAGGTAGAATGAGGGGTGAAGAAGGTAGGGGATGAAGAAGGTAGGGGATGAAGAAGGTAGGGGATGAAGAAGGTAGGGGATTAGAGCTGGGATCTCGGAGGTGTATGGGGGCTGCCGCTTGTTTTTTTTTTTCTTTTCTTTTCTTTTCTTTACGTTTTCTTTTTTTTTTTTGAAAGAACGATTTTGTAGTTTTTGCCCTGTTCAACTGGTTTGCATCTCGACTCGAACTTCGGTCTGTATGCCAACAGTCCATGGGCGTACCAACTGGGCTAGGCCCATCAGTCACTAATGTTTTTAGCAGGCTGATAACGGGAGAGCATTTTATGGCAGAGTTGCAAATACCGCGTGGTTGGCATCATCAAGTCTGCACAGAGGAGGTCATATTCTGACGACTTTTCTGTTCTCTCTTTTTCTTTTTCTTTTGCCCTTTTCATATTTGTTGAAGAGTATTAGATCCTGGCATATCAAAATGATTACTGTTTTCTATCAGGATTCAAGCCTTTTTTTTGGGGGGGGCGGGGGGGGGCGGGAGGGGGGACGGGTATATGGGGGATACAAGCTTGTCCTCTGTCTGTGTGGCTGGATTAGGCGCTGTATGGTGCACTCTCAATGTATGATTAATTTTCGCGGAATAAGGCCCGGCACCCTGATTGGGAGTAAAGGTCAGTAAACAGAATTGTCTGGTGGGGCAGCAGCTGAGGTTGCTTTTTTCTATGGATGCGTTGAGGGGGTGTTGGCTTGCCGTAGAGTGCACATCTTGAGGGGATAGGAGGTGGGGTACGGGTAGTTACGAGGGGATTATAAGGAGGAGGAGAAAGCGCAGCAGAATGTTGCTTTCTGTAGGGTCCAAGGAGGGTAGGGAAGTGAGTTCAGGTTTTCTTTATTTGCGGAGGCAAGTTTCAGGGGAGGGCAGAGGTTCGATTCCAGACATTAACACTTGACCATCACGCACTGTGCAGTCCGCTCTTGTTAGAATACCACACAATTTGTTTTATGTTCTTTTTGTGTGTGTGTGTGTTTACTCGTCTGATTCCATGGGACTCGCACTTGGGCCTGTATTTCAACAGTTCATGGATGTATCAACTGAGCACACAGATTTTTTATTGGGGTTAGAGTGTAATTTGAATGTGATCTGGCATGCAATTTGAATGTTATGTGGCATGTAATTTGAATGTGATGTAGCATGTGCTTGTGGGGGGTGCTGTGATTTGTCTCTGTTAACATGTCGTATGTGTTTGGCGTATGCATTGTACAAGTGCAAAGGCACTCTGCCACAGCAGCTGGGGATTCGTTGCAAAACAAGTGCTGATTGTGATCGTGTGAGAGGGAAGAGGAGTGCGGAACATGTCCCGCGCCTGTTCAGTATTGTAATGAACCCAGTCTCGTTGAGAAGCCAGTCAGCAATGCAATACAAATCTGAACCCAGGGCACATCATGAAGTCTCCAAAGTCAATTACAATTCCACTTGCTCGATTATATGCACAATTCAGAAGCATCGTCTCATCAAAGCAGAGTATGAGAGAGTGAGAAAGAGGAGAGAAGAGACAGAGAAGAGGATGAGAGTCTCAGTAATAATCGATTATGCATGTATATCTCTGTCCTGCCCACTCTCTATTGTCACCTCAGCAATGCATGTTCTCCTCTGACATCCTCTGACATAATCATTGTGCAGATTGTAACAGGGCGCCCATCCTCCCTCCACGTCAGCAATAAGATATGGAGGATGGGACAGCAGTTCCTCACCTTCGTGGAGACCGGCAGATCACATGTGTCGATGTCAGGTAAGTCCAGGTAAGGCTTCCCCTCATCTCATCAGACTCACAGCCCTGATCCTCCTCCTCCTCGCTAATTCTCATCACCTTGTCTGGAGCGATGGCGGCTATGGCCGCACCAACATAATATCTCTGTAGGCTGGCGCCCTCCAGCAGCATCACACTCCAGCAGCCTCGCATATCAGCCCTAGCATCAAGCCAGCGCAAGGCAGAATGCCTTCCCCAGTGGTCTGGCTGGCCTTAAGCTTTGACGAGTGTTGATTGGCATGGACCAGTCCCTCTGTGGACGGTGTTGACCCTTCAGATTTGCCAGGATTTGACAGCCTGGATGCAGCCTTGAAGCAGCAGTACCATTCCTCAGTCGGAACTGGAATCTTCTGGATACCTGCAGACAACCATTGACCTGCATCTTCCCAACGCTCTAAAACCCGCTGGCCGCGGGTACCGTTTTTTTTAACACTGCGCGCCAACGGGCACACTTTGTCCACAATTTTGGTGCGTCGGTTGGCTAAGATCTCCGGTTCCGACGAGTTTTGTGATTTCTCGCTTCTGCGCACGTCTGTGCCCTCGGTTTCCCCCCATAGTAGATCTTGGGCCTCGGGCTCTTAGTGGGCCTTTGGATGATCAGCCGGACAAACCGGCAAATCGGTAGGCCTTTGGTTTCTTCGTGACGGCCGCCAGGGCTTGGCGCTTTCCAAACATGTAGGTTAGGCCATGCCCCTTCCGAACCAGTTTGCATCCGTGAAGGACGTAGCAACTCTCGCGAATGGGAACGGGAAAGTGGGAAGACAAGGGACGGGAAAGGGGGAAGACAGCGGATAGCAGGCAGCAGAGCGGAGAGCCCGCAACAGCACAAGCGCGCGAACACCCACATGTGCACACACACACACACACACACACACACACACACACACACACACACACACACACACACACACACACACACATCCTGGGCAGACTGTCGGGGTTCAACCTCCTGNCACACACACACACACACACACACACACACACACACACACACATCCTGGGCAGACTGTCGGGGTTCAACCTCCTGAAGTCATGCTTTTTTTAGTGTATAGTGAATATGACAGCACATGCACACACACACGCACGAACACACACAGACACACACACACACACACAGACACACACACACGCACACACACACACAGACACACACACACACACACACACACACACACACACACAGAGAGAGAGAGAGAGAGAGAGAGAGAGAGAGCATGAAGTTTTTTGTGTGTACTCTACATCTACTCGTACAAGAGAGAAGGTAAGAGGGCTTTATCTGTGCACGTCTATTTATTTTTTTCTCCTTGCCTTACATAATACTCGTTAATTGCTTTGTTTTTTTCAGCTTCACTTTGGGTTCTGACATTCGACATGCAATTCCACTTCTTGGGCGACATCTGCCGGAGAGCCGCATGGCACACGATGGCAGGAGGAGGAGGAGGAGAGGAGGGAAGAGGAGGGAGAAGGACGAGGGGAGACGAGGAAGGAGGAAGAGGGAGGTGGATGATGAGGACGAGGCACACAACAGCAGGAGATAGGAGGAAGGAGGGGGGAGGAAGGGGGGAAGAGGGAGGAGGATGAGTGGAGACGAGAACGGAGGAGGATGAGGAGGAGGGAGAATGATGATGGCCACGAGGACAAGAACAAAAAAAAACAGTGTGCTGATTTGCCACGGGCACATTACGGGAGGGGAAGGAGGGGAGGAAGGAGGAGCACATGTGGTTAACCAGGGGTGTTTTTTTGGACGAATTTTGCACCGAATTGCACTGAAACTGTCATATTGTGCTGATTTTTTTATTTTTTTCTTGTTTTTCTTTTTGTGTGATATATATGTGCTTTAGGGTACGTCATGTGTGCAGTTTTGACATGTTTGGATCAATAATGAAAAAGTTGGCATTTTGTTGAATTCGTTGGACGTTTCATTTTGACTCGGACAGTGTCTTTGTGTTAGGGTTTCATAGTGTTTTTTTGCTTTTTTTTTTCATTCTTTTCGGCCTGTTTCCTTTTTTGATGTTTGCACTCTGGTCTCATATCGTTTGTTTTTTAAATTTTTGATGAAACTCGCACCGCAATTGCCAACGAAAACGGCGAATATTTGGGCCCCCGTTAACCATCTCTCGAAGGAGGGGACGGGGACGAGGCACACGACGGCAGGAGATGGGAGAAGGGGGAGGGAGGAGGAAGGAGGGGGAAGGAGGAGGGAGGAGGATGAGTGGAGACGAGAACAAAGGAGGATGAGGAGGAGGGAGAATGATGATGGCGATGAGGACGAGAACAAGAACAAAAAAGATTGTGTGCCGATTTGCCACTTGGCACATTATGGGAGGGGAAAGGAGGGAGGGGGAGGAGGACCAGGAAGGACGGGAGGAGGAGAGGGAGGAGGACGAGAGAGGAGGACGAGGGGAGACGGGGAGGAAGGAGGAGAAGGAAGGTGAATGACGAGGACGAGGCAGACGGCGGCAGGAGATAGGAGAAGGGGGAGGGAGGAGGAAGGAGGGGGAAGGAGGATGAGTGGAGGAGAGGGAGGAGGACGAGAGAGGAGGACGAGGGGAGACGGGGAGGAAGGAGGAGAAGGAAGGTGAATGACGAGGACGAGGCAGACGACGGCAGGAGATAGGAGAAGGGGGAGGGAGGAGGAAGGAGGGGGAAGGAGGATGAGTGGAGACGAGAACGAAGGAGGAGGAGGAGGGAGAATGATGATGGCAACGAGGACGAGAACAAGAACAAAAAAAATTGTGTACAGATTTGCCACATGGCACATTCCGGGAGGGGAAAGGAGGGAGGGGGAGGAGGAAGAGGAAGGAGGAGAGGAGGAGGGAAGAGGAGGGAAGAGGAGGGAGGAGGACGAGGGGAGACGAGGAGGGAGGAGGAGGAGGGAGGTGGATGCCGAGGATGGCGCACACGACGGCAGGAGATAGGAGAAGGGGGAGGGGGGAGGAAGGAGGGGGAAGGAGGAGGGAGGAGGATAAGTGGAGAAGAGAATGAAGGAGGATGAGGAGAGGGAGAATGATGATGGTGACGAGGTTGAGAACAAGAACAAAAAAAAATTGTGTGCCGATTTGCCACGTGGAACATTATGGTAAGGAAAAGGAGGGAGGGGGAGGAGGAGTAGGAAGGAGGAGAGGAGGAGGGAAGAGGAGGGAAGAGGAGGGACGAGGACGAGGGGAGACGAGGAGGAAGGAGGAGGAGGGAGGTGGATGACGAGGACTAGAAAAAATGGTGTGCCACGACAGGAGGAGAGAGGAGGAGGAGGAGGGGGAGTATGAAAGAATCACAAGATGAAACCAAAAGTTGCACGCCACAGAGGACGAAGCAGGACGAAAGAGGGGGTTGAGAGAACAAGAGAGAGAGGAGGGGGAGGCAGAGGGAGGGAGGGAGGGAGGGAGGGAGGGAGGGAGGGAGGCAGGCTAATGCGTTCGTGGTGTGTTCCGTTTCTTTTTTTGCAGCCTGGACTTGGTACGTATTCCTTTTTTTCCCCGTAAAGGGTGACGGCCTTGAGATATCATGTAAGTCAGGGTTTCATTCAGTTACAGCTGTCTGGATTGGAGCTCACGTCTACATTTCAACAGTCCATGGGTGTGCCGACTGAGCTTCGCCTGTCGGTTTGGTCTGTAACATATGAGTGAAGACGAGGAGGGAGGAGGATAAGGAGGAGGATAAGGAGGAGGGAGGATGATGATGAGCATGACAAAAAGCTGTGTGCTGGTGTGCCATATGGCAAATGACAAAAGGAGGATGGAAAAGGAGGGAAGAAGGAGAAAGGAGGAGGACGGACTGGCGATGTGTGGAAGGAGCGTGGCCGTGTGCCACGTGCCACACAGCGAGAGAGGAGGAGGGGGAGGTAGGTGGAGGAGGGAAAGCACGAGGAAGGAGGAGGGAGGGGCCGGGAGGAGGATGAGGAGGGAGGATGATGATTAGGATTAGAACAATAACACAACAAAAACCGCATGCCAGTGTGCCATGTGGGGAGGAACCGGGGGAGGGCGACAAGAAACAAGAGGTAAAAAAAAGAACCGAGGGCGACAAGAAATAAGAGGTAAAAAAAAAAAACGCACGGCGGTTCTGATGCAAGGGGGAGGATGAGGGGGCTGCAGGGCAAAGCTGAGCGTTGAGGGGAGTTGGAACATGGGATCCTTATGAAGTCAGAAAGCCGTGTAGTGTGCAGCACTCGTGCGCGCTCTGGATATGGAGCGGGGGGGGAGAGAGAGAGAGAGAGAGAGAGAGAGAGAGAGAGAGAGAGAGAGAGAGAGCATGCAGCTGTTCGTGTATGCTATGTCAGTTCGTACAAGAGAAAATGCAGGAGGGCCTTATCTGTGCACGCCTATTTTTGATGTCTCTCTTTATCCCTTCCCTTCGCTATCCCTATACCTTTAAAAGATATAGCGGTCCCATCGACAGACTCCTCCGCGGGCCCAAGAGAAACCATGGCAGGGGCCCGTCGTCGGGTGTGGCAGGGAGGGACAGGACCGATGTGGGCGCAAAAGCATGTGCCGCGTGAAAAGAGCGCCGCGTGAGAAGACGAGCGAGTGCACGCCTGCAAGCGGAGGGGAATCGCGGGCGGAGGCGAAACGATGCTCCGGAATCGCGCACTGAGGCGAAAGGACGCCGGGCCGTGTCGGAAAAGGCAAGCAAGACGAGAGGGAAGAGGCGGCGCGGGGCTGGGCGTCGGGCGAGGGAGGGTCCGGGCCGGCACCAAGAATTGAACCGTGCAGACTACCGGCGGGTGAGGGGGTGAAGCGTCGGGCGCCAGAGAGAGAGAGAGAGAGAGAGAGGGCGGAGGAGCAGGAACAAGAGGAGAAGGGAGCTGAGAGAGCCAGAACAAGAAGGCAAGATAAAGACGGTTAGGAGAAGGAGAATATTGGGTGGTAGGGTTCATTGCACAGAGAGAGAGAGAGAGAGAGAGAGAGAGAGAGAGAGACGCGAAGTTACGGGCAGGCTGCTCACATGAGCATCGAGGGCTTGCAGGCGAGGGGGCGAAGCGACGGTGTGAAAGTGTTACATACTGATGCCACACGGGTCCCTTTCGGACCCGACCACTAGACCAAGGGGTACTTAGGCCGGCCCAGCCAAAGGCCGGACCTTTCTCCCGGTAGGCCGCATGAGGCCACCGGATGGTTTTCCTGCAGCAGGCCAGATATAGGCCCAAATGATATTACTGTTGGGCCTGGCGGCGCTCTTGAGGCTGCCGGCCACAGGTCTTATCTGAATCGTCAATCTTGACGATTCAGATCACGGCGCGCTGGGGCAGCATTGAGGCCGACCGGCTGCTGGACGATACTTAGGCCGGTCCAGCGGCCTTTCCAGCAAGTTGAACGGCAGTACGACACGAGGCACCAAGCTGCGCTATTCCTGGTTTAGCGCAGCGGCTGGAGCTGCAGCGCTAAGTTTAGCGCACTGCAGCAAAGGGACGCGAGGAGGGAGACTTACCTAGAGTACCGTGAGCGCCATAGCTCCCAGCGGCT